GAGAGAGAGAGAGAGAGAGAGAGAGAGAGAGAGAGTTATTATTCAATTAAATTCATGTCTGTCTTCATTATTGTTCCCCAAATATTTGGAACAAGAATATGGATGCCATGTTAGTATTATTTCCTAGGCCTATTAAGGTTGATTGATATCATAATGCATGAAGGTTTCCTAAGGATGCTAATTTAGTGATAGTTCATGTAGCCCATATATGGATTCCTAATGAGCGCATTGAATTTCAGAAATTCTATCCAAACATATTTTTGTAAGTTTAACATAGATCCATACATGATGTCATGGACATATAAAATGAGGCTGGTGATCAATACTCAAAACTTGAAATAATAATTTTTTTTTTTTGGAGATTTTCAAATCAAGAGAGAGAAGGAAGTTCAGAGCATTATATTGTGCAATAGATCAGTTTATACTAATTGAATTGTTTCTTGTGTTATTGATTTGCCTCAAATGTTTGTTTGCAATCTGAATGGCTTTCTCTTTATTGATGAACCTCGAGAAGAACTTCACCTCTTCTTGTTGCATAGATTAGTTTAAAGCTTGTTGTATGTTAATTTTCTTCATATAGCAAAATATTGTGGTGGGATTATAATATCTTATATTTCGAGAATATATGGAGAGTGCTTCTGTTCCATTTAAGTAGTTGCTTTGATGAAAGCACTGATAGAAAGGAAACTTAAGAACCAGCATGAAGGTTGTATAACCATACATTGTGTACAAGGATTAAAACTTAAAAAAGGGAATCTGTGGTAACATGGAATGTAAGAGTAAAAGTCTAAAATGACTTTGTTTTACTTGATAATTTTCCTATTATAACTGTCATCTCTTGGGTGAACAAATATTAGGTTTATCCTTGTCCAAAAGGCTCATTGAGACATCGGCAGATGGTGAAAACTCTTGGCGGAAAAGAGCAGTAAGTATTGAATGAGGGTTTTTGAAAGAAAAAGCAAGAAAGAAAACTTTGAGCAAATTGATTTTGTGTGTGCATTGGTGCCAGCATATGTGTGTGCCATGTAGCTGGATATCCACATATGTACTAATTACCATATGAATATAACATGCTTATGTATGTACCTCTACTAACATATGAAAAAGTCGAGAATAAAGTTTACATTTGATGCTTCACTTCCCCCTTTCATCTCTGTGAAAACATAGTGAAATAAAGATATTGAAACAGAGGATTTTTCATGCAGGTTTCCTTACCTTGTCGATCCAAACACTGGTGTCTCAATGTACGAGAGTGGTGAGCCATCAAACTACTATGTGCTGTGGTTTTGTACTTATTTCATGAGTGTAATATTGCTCTTAATGGAGTGCATGATGGAATTCTACTTATCTTGATGGTTTTGTTTATTTTAGTGGTTTCCTCTTACATAATTGACAATTATGCACTATTATAGATGGCAAATACGACCTTATCATTTTCTTGTACTAATATTAAATATTTGAATTTATAATATACATTTATGTAAATACATGAGATGTTAACATTTACACCTTTGCGTGGGAGAGAGAGTAACTTGGAATGAACTGAACAGTTTGCCCTAGTATTTGAGAGAGCCAAGAGGGTATGCAGGTCACAAGGTCATTGTGGTTTATAATTTATAAATTATATTTTTCTTTTATGGCTCATTCAAGATAAATCTCAAGTGCATACTAAGACATGTATAAAGTAAAAGTTCTGACGTGTACTTATTAAAAATTTATTATCGCAACTCTCAAACAAAATTTATTGGGACTATTTATTAGGACTATTGGGACTATTTATTATCGCAACTCTCAAACAAAATTTATTGGGACTATTTATGTGTGTGTGTGTGTGTTTCTTTAGCTTTATTTCCTCACATTTACATATAGGACTTGTTGATGCTTCTCTATCTAAGGACATTGTCTGCATATTGATATCGCCTAGTATATACCTACCATCACCATCTTCATAGAAGATATCCTCACCTAAATAACCCTGAATGAGACCAAATGCTTTTGGCTCATAGTATCCTTGTAGAGAAACAAATAAAATTGAGATGAAGCACTAAGAAAAGAACAAAAAAAAAAAAAAGGAAAGAGAGAGAGAGAGAGAGAGAGAGAGAGAGAGAGAGAGAGAGACGACCTCTCTACATAC